AGGCCGTGGTGTTGGTGAGGAGAAGGACCACATTTTCCTCCAACTCAGCCATCTGCCCGCCGAGGTTCTGCACGAGCGTCTGCCCGGTATTTCCGAGACCGCTGGTATCTTCGCCGGTGTCGACGTCCGCACCCAGCCCATTCCTGTTCTGCCCACCGTCCACTACAACATGGGTGGTATCCCCACTAGATACACCGGTGAGGTCATCACCGTCGACGAGGCTGGAAACGACAAGGTCGTTCCTGGTCTGTTTGCCTGCGGTGAGGCTGCCTGTGTTTCCGTCCACGGCGCCAACCGTCTGGGCGCCAACTCCCTGCTCGACTTGGTTGTTTTCGGCCGCGCCGTCTCTCACACCATCCGCGACAACTTCACCCCCGGCACCAAGCACAAGCCTATCGAGGCTGATGCTGGTGCTGAGGCTATTGAGACTCTTGACAACGTCCGCACTCGCGAGGGCACCAGAACGACTGCCGATGTTCGCCTGGCTATGCAGAAGGCTATGCAGACTGAGGTCAGCGTTTTCAGAACACAGGAGTCTCTCGACGAGGGTGTTCGCAAGATGACCGAGATTGATGCTCAGTTCCCTGATGTCGCCATTAAGGACAAGAGCATGATTTGGAACTCTGACCTCGTTGAGACTCTTGAGCTCCGTAACCTTCTGACTTGCGCGTAAGTTTAAACCATCCCGTTCGATTACGACCGTCAGACTCTAATCAGCTCCCCACAGTTCCCAGACCGCCACCTCCGCTGCTGCCCGCAAGGAGTCTCGTGGTGCCCACGCCCGCGAGGACTACCCTGAGCGTGACGATGTCAACTGGATGAAGCACACCCTCTCCTTCCAGAAGAACCCCCACGGCAAGGTCGACCTCGGCTACCGCGGCGTCATTGCCAACACCCTGGACGAGAACGAGTGCAAGGCGGTTCCCCCCTTCAAGCGTGTGTACTAAACTATGTTACGATAGACTGGTGTCGGTGTTGGTAGGGAAACAGGAAATGCGAGGAGAAGAAGGAAAGATAGCTCGAGCAGCGGAAGGGGGCATCAATCAAGAGGCAGCCATAATACCACGACAATCTAGTTAATGATCGTGGACGAGCCACGTTAGGGGTTGGAAGGAGATATGAGTTCACCTGATCCTGGCGGAATTACGGCTGTTGGGGGTCTGGTGCATACACCGCAGGCTTTTGGGCTTTGGCTCTGGAGTTAAAAACGTGTAAAGTAGGAGGAGAAATTCATTTGTTCAAAGCGTCACAACTGTGCATTATGCTGCTAAGTAGGCATCATCATATTGGAGCTGGGTAGCTCTGGCACACCAAACAGATAACAGGATAACAAAAGTGTACGGGCGGTAGGATTCGGTGCTTGAAAGACGTTGTTTTTCGCATTTTTCTTTTTTTTCGTAACAGCGCAGGTGTAAAATGCTAACAGAACAGAAGGCAGCCTACTCCAACAGAACAATTCATCCATGTTTGCTCATCAGTTTTTACGAAGCGAAATCCATGTCCCATCTACAACCCATCCTGGCCATCGGCCTCATCGTTCACGAGTCGTCGGGGTCGGCCGTCGGCTCGACCGGCTGGTCGTCAACCGAGGTGGTTGGGCAAGGCGGCTTGACGTACGACGGCCAGGGGCGGCAGTCAGCGTGGCATCTGAGGGACGTTGAGTGTTAGCCAGCTGGTCAAATCAAAATAGATTGGGGCATGCGAGGGATGGGCGGCGACTTACCCCCCGTACATCTGGCCACACTCATTAATGTAGTCGACACAGACGGTGATTGACCTACAGTCGCTGGACACCGGCACCGGTCTGGGGGTCGGTGTTCGGGTTATGGCGGGAGGGCTCCGAGTAATCGAGGGCGGATTCGGCCTCCTCGTGGGAATGGTTGGTAAGATAGGCCTCCGTGTCTGCGTAGAGAGCGATCTGGTGGACTTGCAGGGCGGCATCGTAGGCCTCAACTTCGGCTGGCACATGTCGTAGCAGCCTCCCCATCGCAAACCGCACGCCGGGTTGATACCGTCGAGACACATGGTTCGTGGACAGTCGGCGGCGTTGGAGGGGCGGAGTTGAACCTGCGGGTCGGCGGCGACGAGGCCGACGAGGCCTAAGACCGCCAGGAGGTGACCTGAGAGCATCTTGACTGGTGGTTGTGCAAGGCGCCAGCGAACGGGGAGTGGGAGAGCAGTATCGTGGAACAGAAGTGGTGCAAGAGGGTGGTGTTGAGTTGCTAAGTCGTTGCTGGTTTGTTGTGTCACAACAGAAGGTCGACGCCAGGCCGGATTGCGAGGCTGCTATATATCTTCAAGAGTTTGCAGTAAGGTCGTACGATACGGCGGACTCTCCGAGAGCCGGCGGAGGGTTCGTCTCCAAGGCGGGAAGACGGAGGCTACGCGGGTGTAGGTTTGTGACTGTCTCGGCCGCAGGCGAGCTTGGCCGCACATCCCTTACCCAGCACATGCGCCCTGCTTGTTAGCACACTTTACGAGCAACCTAGATTTGATGTTTGGCTCTTCGTTCTACGTGGTAGTATTGCCAAGATGGTGTGCCAAGAGTGATCGAACAATCCAAACACGAGAGCAGATCATCCAGGGCTTCAGTCGACAGGAGAATGTGCGCATCCGGCCAAGGAAGGGCAAGATAGCGTGCGCCGCTTGTACCAGTGGCCAGAATGGCGGGCGGTTCTCCAGTTTTCAGGATCTACATTAGAGTGAGCGGAAGGTCTCAACATGAGCTGTTTTCGAGTGGTCTGGTCTCGAGGTTTTCCGCCGAAAAGAGCATGGCTCCTTCTTTCCTCCAAAGTAGTCAAAGAGAGAGGATGGGCCGAGTGTGGGAGTCACGCTGGCACGAGTTCTTTGTTCGCGGCACCGCTTTTCAGCGCGACCGAAAAAAAGAATTGGCGAGACGGATTAAGACACAAAACGGCTGTCCTATTTCTCCGTTCTTTGGGTGCGATACAGGACAGATTTTCTCTGAGACGAGGTATTTTGAAATATTCCACGATGTGACCTCGTCCATACGTTTCCGAATCCTTCCAACAGAACCATGAACGACAGAAACTTCATCTTCGGTCGTTGGAGTTCGAAAGCATGTTCGTGACTTGGCTTTCAGCCACTGGTGTGAAGACTGAGGCGGCTCTTTCCAAGAGCGTCTATCCTTGCCAAGGCGCTTGTCTCAAGAGGGCGTCGATCTAGCCCGCTTGTAGGCGAACATCTCGCGCAGACAACTACATCTGCTGGGTCTCGTTGTTCTTCGGATCGCATCCGGAGGCTCGGATAGGTATTCGTTCCAGGCAATGCATCGGCCCGGATGCTGACTGAAGCTCGCAAAGTTATCTTACGTGAAGCCAGGGCGACAAACGAGGAGGAGGGCGTTGTCCTTGACTGCAGACTTTCCGTCGGCTCCATAGTCTCGCTCATTGGTGCTAGTTTCCCTTGGACACTCGGCTTGTGTAATCATGGCAGAACTGTGTGGAACCAACACCATGATTTGGTATGGTGTTACAGTTGTTCTAACGTTGGGAGGAATGCCACCGGACGCTGGAGACAAGTAGATCTACGAAGAATTAGTATCCGGCGCTCTGTGGTGAATGAATGAATGACATCAGAGACAAGTAAGTAGACAGTTGCTGAACATGGACCGAGATATGAAGGGATGCATTCTGTGCGAAAGATTACCGCGCCGAGCTCCCAAGTTCGGATTAGAAGGGCAATGGAAGGTTTGCAACGTGTGGAGGGCTATGAATAGCATCACAGGTAAGTATAACGTTGATTTTATTTTTGTTCTAAAAAAAAAACTTCCTGCTTATCTCCCCCCTCCGATTGACGATGTAGACAATGTCCAAGATATTCAGGCACTTATCCTTACTAAAAGTAAAAGCCAAGTCCTCTGACTTTCCTGTCATCTACCAAGCCGAGGAAATGGCGGTAAAACAGTTAACACTGCGGGGAGGGATCGTCAGACAGGTGGAAGGCACATACGTCGTGCTGAGACAACAACCCATGAGATACGACGCCCCGTTATGCCTGTTTTCCACTTCCTCAACTCGACTTGCACGCTTGTCCATCTTTCCTCCTTTCGAACATTGGGGTGTAATGGGACTTCCCGATCAGTGGACAGCAGGCACCGATCAGCAGGCTCACACAAGACAGCCTCCATCTCCCGTTGATAACCCAGACGGACACGGTAAGCGCGAGCTACCTTCATACCTACGATTCCCGCGATGAAATCCACCTTATTACGGGAAGACCAGAAACGGCCCGCTTGACTCAGAGACTCCACCCGCGATGCCATGACGTTGCAAACACAGCAAACACTGGGTAAGAACGCCCGTAAGGTGAGCCGTATACCTATTTTTGGACACTGATGCCGCACTGAAACCGCCCAAGGGTAGGGTAGACGGACAGAAATGCTCGAGATGATCTCTGTTCTTGTCAGCGGGCTTCCACCTTGCCATTTTGCGCGATCTGAACCTTGAACCCGACGCCGAGGCATCGCATCGCCATGTATGGCGTACGCCAACACTTAAGGCCTTGGCAGGAAATGCTGTGAGATTTTCGACGGTGTTTCTCCTGGGCGAGAGACGACACTAACATGCCGTCTTGTTCCACATGACACCGATTTGTATAGGACGCCTTGTCATCACATCGTCGAGCTGCATCGTTCTGTCGACTCACACAACACAAAACACCTGCGTCTCCTGTTTCAAGCAGCACTGCCCGCCTTCTCCCGTTACCTCACTAATTATCTGTTCCTCCCGTCCTAACATCCAGCTATTCTGCGCGCCGATGGCTGTCCGGCTTTAGCTTTCCATTTACCAAGGATCAGGGTCAGCGGACTACCTTGTATACACAACTTTACCTGTTCAAGAAACACGTTTGGCTGACCAGAAGTGAACACTAGATTTTGTATTTTCTTCTTAATTCCTATATGCGCCGTTGTTGGTATCAATCATGCTTTCCAAAGTGGGAAGAAAGCTCCCACAAATGCAATAAAGCTCCTTATCTGCCTATTGGTTGTCGAGGTACGCCGCGTAGCCGATTCTTTGCAGCTTGGCCGCCTTGAGCTCCACCTCTCGCGACATGTCGCTCATGTACTGAGCCATTTTCTGCTGGTACTCCTTGTTGGAGGAACCGAGGATCTTGACCGCCAGGAGTGCGGCGTTGGTGGAATTGTTAATACCAACGGTAGCCACGGGGCAACCGCGGGGCATTTGCACAATACTCAGCAAGCTGTCGTGGCCGTCGAGGTGAGTGGCCTTGACAGGCACACCGATAACTGGTACCGTGGTTTCGGATGCCAGCATACCCGGAAGATGGGCAGCACCACCAGCTTTACGGAAAGATTAGTCGATTTGCGTACCACAGGAGGTGAGATCACGAGCTTACCAGCAGCGATGAGAACTTTGATGCCGCGCTGCGCAGCGGTCTTGCCCAGCTCCACCATACGATGAGGCGTGCGGTGAGCAGAGGTAATGTCGTAATCATAGGGCACCTCAAATTGCTCGAGAATATCGAGGCCAGCCTTGAGGACCTTGAGGTCCGAGTCGGACCCCATAGTGACGACAACAAGGGGCTTGTCAGGGTTTCGAGAGCTTGTTTTCTTTTTCTTGACCGGAGACTCCTGCAGGCGGATCTGCTCCGAGGAGGCATCAAGACGGGCTTCGCGCATGTAGTTCACCTCATTGATGAGGGGTGCAGCCAACCTCTCCAAGTTAGCGCTAGGGGAGTAGGTGGTGACGGTGATGTGGCCGATCTTGCGGCCCGGCTTGGAAGATTTGCCATAGAGGTGGAGGAAAACGTCCATGTTGTCGTCGTACAGGGATGTGGTGAGATCCACTAGCTCCTCGTGGGAGTCCTCACGAGCACCGCCAAGAATGTTCAGCATGAGGGCACTGGTGACACGAGGCTGCAGTTTGATGGACCGCGGAAGCATGTCCAAAATGGAGTAGAGCTGCGCCTTGTACTGCGACATGTAAGGAACACCCTCAATAGTCCAATGACCTGAGTTGTGAGGTCGGGGGGCGACCTCGTTCACTGTGATAGTGCCTGCCAGAACATTAGATCCCGTGTGAGTCTTTTTGATGTCACTCAACTAACCGTCCTTCAGCAGGAACATTTCAACGGCGAAAACACCTCGACCCTTGAGCGTCTTGATGACCTCACCGGCCACCTGGCGGGCCTTCTCACAGACTTCGACAGGGACCTTGCGGGGCGGGTAAAACACCTTGGTGCAGATGCTCTCTTCGTGGATAGTCTCGACGGCCGGGTAGGTGTGGACTTTCCTCAGCTCGCCGTCTTCATCCTCGGTTCTCACCACCATGACGGAAAGCTCCATGTCGAAGGGAACCCATTTCTCGGCGTACAGTGACAGCTTGCCCATTGCCTGAATGGCCGACTCGTAATCCTGAGGTCCGTTGACCTTGAAGTTTCCACGGCCGTCATACGAGCCCTTTCTGGCCTTGAGCATAAAAGGGAACTGGAAGGTCCTGTAAGCCGCCGTCAGGCTCTCCGGCATGGCGGGGCCGGACTCGATGGCCATTTGTGGGGCAATAGGAAGGCCGGCCTTGGCGAAGTGCTCTTTTTGCAGGTACTTGTCCTGAATCAGGCGCAGAGTTTGCCAGTGAGGGTGAACGGGCACTCGCTTCACCGTACCCGGAGCGGTGATAACACCGCGGGTCGCAATCTCCTCGAGAACCTCGGTGTTGACGTGCTCAATCTCGACAGTAATGACATCGCAAATGGCGGCCAATTCTCTGATCTTGGCGGGGTCTTTGAACCCACCAGTAACGTGCCGGCTGTTCTGGTTTGCCTGCTTCGCAGGACAATTGGCCTCGTCAAGAATGGCAATGTCGATTCCCAAAGGTCCGGCAGCCTCACAAAGCATCCGGCCCAGCTGGCCGCCTCCGAGGAGGCCAATGGTAGGCTTCTTGACCATTGTGGATTTCGGGAAGGGCGTTTATGATGTGATTGCGGACGGAGGAGAGACCAAAAGAGAGAGTAGCGCAATGGTCAAGAAACGAGGTAGTGGAGAGTGTTTCCCGAGGGGAAGAAACAACTCACCAATTCTGCATTGAACTGGGTGGGATGAGCAAAGTTTTGACATAGCAAGTTTCGAGGATATATCCACTTTGGGAAAGCGGTAAAAAAATACCCCGCCGTTATCGTCACAGGAGTGCCCCACCCCCACTATGACTCTGGATCGAATCTGGGTTTAGGTCGATGCCAGGCGCCAACAAACTTCTACTGCTCCACTAAGAAAGAGCTGTGGTTACCCTGAACTACTCACTGTAATTATTCACTTTCAGCGTCCAATTCGACTCACTCATCCTCTCGCTCACTCGAGCATAGCCTATGCTGGCATTCACCACACCACACGTGCGTTGACGAAGCTGTCACCATGGCAGCTAACACTTATGATGACACCATATCAGACAGGATACAGTGAGTGGGAAATCCCAATTTTATACCTATTGCGCGAAACCGAAGGCTGACATATCTTCCTACCACACTCAGTCCTCTCAAAATCTTCGATGCCGCCAAGAGCCAGGACCGGTTTCTCTACGTCTCAGCTCCCATGGTGAGATACAGCAAGGTAATATCCATACTCGTTTACTATTTCCCAACAATAAGTCAAGTACTCATGAAAATGACAGCTAGCTTTCCGTCAAACCGTGCACGAGTACGGAACCGACATCTGCTGGACCCCTATGATTCTGTCTAAAGAGTTCAACCGCAACAAGTTTGCTCGCGACAGTGGTTCGTATTTCACCTCCTTTCATGTCCAATGAAGACCAAGAGATCTTTAACATCTTATTCCAAGATCTCACATTGGCAACACGGGGCATTCAACCACCAACAATAGTTCAATTCGGCTCAAATAGCCCCCTAGAGCTTGCCCGTTCCTCGTCTTTAGCCGCCCCCTTTGTCAATGGCGTCGACCTCAACTGCGGCTGCCCTCAGTCCTGGGCCTGTGCCGAAACCCTGGGTGCTGCTCTCATGGAGAAGCGGGAGCTCGTTCGCGACATGGTCGTCGAAACCCGGCAGCGTTTGGCCAACGACGGCTGGCACGTTGGCAAGGAGCGTGACATTGATAGCCCCAAGGGCCGCAGCGTCAGCGTCAAGATTCGTGTTCACAAAGACCTGAGGTCAGCCCCTGACTGCATTCACAGTCACCGTCGGACGGCCGCTTGCTGACAATCATGCTCACACGCAGGCGGACGATGGACTTCATTGACACAGTCATCGGCAACCCCCTCGACCGTAACATCGACTTTCTTACCATCCACCCTCGCACCCGACACACCGCCTCCAGCATCCCCATCAACACCGAGTCCCTCGGAATCCTCCTCGAAAAGTATGGTGAGACCCTCCCTATACTCCTTTCGGGCGATGTCTTCTCTATGGCGACACTGCCGTTGTCCACAGTCTCCAAACCGGCAGCGCAGCCGGAGGACGACACAATCGCTATCAACGGTCACAATGGCTACGCGGCCTTCACCCCTAGCACCACCAAGCTCGCGGGCCTCATGTCTGCTCGCGGCATTCTCGCCAACCCGGCCCTCTACGCCGGCTTCGAATCGTGCCCCTGGGAGGCCGTCGAGTCATTCATGCGCAATGTCGTCCGCGCCCCGATTCCCCTAAAGCTGGTTCAGCACCACCTTCACGACATGTGCGGACCGGGCATGGGGCCGGACAAGCGTGCGCTGCTCAATAAGCAGGAAAGGACGACACTACTCACTATGGACAACATGTTGGATGTCATGGATTTCATGGACGACGCCATTAATCGCAAAATGGGGAGAACAGACGGGCTACGGCGCGAGTTGGCAGATAGCTCAAGGGTTCCCGTGCCATGATCATCTCTGACTGATTCTTCACCGCTCGTTCAAGTGTGGCCTCATAACATTCTTTGGCGATGCATTTATTAGGCAGGACTACCAAGGTATTTCATGCCTTGGAAAGGCAGATTACGCCATGAGTCCAGTTGTACTACCGCCACCCCGTCAACGCCACGCTCTTGGGCTTGCCCAGCGTTCTAGTCCCAAGATACTCAGCATACCGAGGCCGCTTTGAAAAGTGCATTCCATATGATACACTTGTGACAATTGATGTCCAGTTTGGCCAACCGATCCGGCTCCGTGCCACAACCCATGAAGGATGAAGGACCTACCAAACGCCTGGTCCCCCAGTAAAAAAAGATTATGTTGTTACAATTGAAAGGTTTCGTCAGTCCAAAACCTCTCCTTCGTCCTCGTCTGAAAGTCTTGCACGTTTCTGGTCTCTGGTCTCGGAGTCGGAATCAAGTTCCTTCCGTTTTCCTGGAGAGATCATGCCGTTTCCGTTAGCTCTCTCTGGCTCCTTGAGCGTGGCTTGTGAACCAGACTCGGTATTGTCGTCACGGCCGTTAGCCCTACCCCTTGGACTCTGCGTTCCCCTGTCCAGCTCGAAAGGAGTGCCTGCCGTCGAAGACAAAGCGTCTTGGCTCATCGGATCCCTAGGCTGTCTCGTATTCGACAAATCAAAAGCCGGCGAGGGCAGGGATGGGTTTTGCTTGCGGAGCGGATTCTCGGTGTAGAATTGCCGCATAATGTCGATTGCGCGAGTACACTTCTTTTCGTCTCCTTTCAGTGCCTGCCACCAGGGCTCGTCATTGACATCTGGAATCTTCTGTTGAGTGTGTCCGCTGGCGAAGAAAATTGCGGTGATAGCAACATCGCGAGCCTCAAGCAGCAGGGGGATTGATGTGAGGCAGGCGTCGCTGCAGAATGCCCACGCTGACTGCCGGAGATGCTTGTTATGGAGAATGTCAAGTTGACCGAGAAGCTCGAACAGGCGCTGGTAGGGGTTCTCCACCATGAGATCGAACGTGAGATATTCCAGCATCAGTTCCTCATACATAAGGATACTGTCTCTCCACCGCCAATATTCCTTGTTCATCTCGTCGATAACCAGCTTAGGGTTTTTCTGAGCGACTTTGGCGACTGTGATGATAATTTCTTTCGTTTTACGACAATTCTCCTCCGTTTTGTTGGCGAGAAAGAGTGCAGTAGCCGCAATGTTCTGTTCCATCGAATCTGTCAGTAGTGATTCAATTAGAGCTTTCCGAGTTCCTCGCTTTGATCTGGGAAGAGTGGATTGCGTCTGACACTTGTCAGACTCAACAGCCACCTTCGACGTGATGAGGCGAGAAATGAAGGAAGTCTCACGTAATGATGAATGCCGTTCTTCTCCTCGACCATACTGTAGCGCATGTAGAACCGGTGAAAGAAGACGCCTGCCACCCAGAGTGTGATCTGAGGTAGATCGAGCAAGACTCCGGCTTGGTATATAAAGTTTACCCCTTTCGCGCGCCGTAGCCGCTCTTCTGCTGGAGAGATTCCGTCCAGAACACTCGGTGTACTGAGTATCTCGTCGGTCGTGAAGTACCATTGATTGGGTGGGGGTCCTGCCGGAGTTTGTGCCCTTGAACGAGGCGAGCGTACATCTCGTTGAGATTGAGGTCGCGGAGGCGACGTTCGAGAAGAATGTGTCGGCGGAGATGGAACGGCTGGAGGAACGTCCAATCGCCGCGCAGGAGATCGTGACTGCCGGTCTGGTCGTGGAGTGCCGGCTGGGACAGTGGGAGGCTGGTACGCCTCTCTCGAAGGCCGATAGCGATCGATACTAGCCATCGCCGCGAGGTTATTGGGATACTTGGTGGTCGGCAATCGATAGAAGTCGGTCTGATGAACTGGTCATATGAGGTAAGGCGAGCAAGCTGTCACAGATTCATGGAAGTACAGTTGATGATGATTAAATACCTAGCTTGCTCTCGCTGATCGGAAAGTCCTGGTTTGAATCGCGCCTCAGGTGCTTATCTAATCGCTCGACCACTTTAGGACCCTGTCAGGTAGGCACGATCAAGAAAGTGGTGTGCGGTCCGTGCGCATCGTGATGCGTTCGCCGCAGTGGTCTCTGATGGGACCGAGAAAGATGGTAGAGCTTTGTAAGATTATTCCTGCCATGGGTATCTCATTATTTCAGGAGAGATGCAGTGATTTAACACAATACAGCCCTTGTAATTTATGGTTCTAGAGTCCCTCGCCATTATTGCGGCTCCAAAGTTTGACCGTTCGATCGTGTCCTCCGCTAACGATCCATTTGCCGTCTCTGCTGACGTCCACGCTTGCTACAGGGCCAGAGTGCCCGCTCAAAGTCTGGATAAGGCCCCAGTTGTCCGCCGAGAAAATCTTGACCTTGGCGTCAAATCCACCGGATACAAAGAATGTGCCGGCTGTCTTTGGTTGCTGCGCACCCTTCTCGTCCACGCCAGGGGGGTTGCCGTCGATTGGGTCGTCTGTTCCCTTGAACCAGCGAATGTCGGATACGGCTTTCGCGTGTGCTCCTAGGTTTGCCGTCCTCTGGACCTTCCGTACATCCCAGCACTTGATCCACCCGTCCGCTGATCCTGATAGTACTCTGTGTCCATCCGATCCCCAGTCAAGGGCGTATATAGGTTGAATGTGCTCATCTAGAATCATGACAGTCCTTCCGGACCGCAGGTCCCAGATACGACCAATGCTGTCAAGACCAGCGCTCGCCAAAAGAGAACCATCGGCATTGAAGCTGACAGAGTAAACGCCTCGGGAGTGTCCCTCCTGGAGCAGAAGCTCTGCGGTCGTTTCCACATCCCAGAGTCTCCATGTCGTATCGTCCGAAGCAGAAGCAACATATCGACCAGAAGGATGGAACTCAACGCGTGACACCCTTCCACCATGACCACTAAGCGTGGAAAGAGGGGTATCTTGGTTCAAAGACCATAGGTGAACCAAACCTTCAGCTCCTCCGGAGGCAAGATTCACCGTGTCTGGAGAGACACTAGTACCGGGAAGTGTGGAGCCCGGGTACCACGATATACCACTGATCTTCTGCGTATGCCCTCGAAGGTTCATCTTG